TGTACCATCAAATCAGATCTGACTGGTACAGGAGGAGATTGTCCCTCCTTCTCCAGCAGAGCATCTGGTGGATTTGAACCGTGCACCTCTGGGATTGCAGTACACCTTCTTGCCACTAGGCCACCAGAGCTCGCCACATTCTTTTAAAGTAATAATTTCTTCTTCAATCTGAGTTTTACCATCTTAACAAGGGTATTTAAAAAGCATTTCTTGAATTTCCTGAGAATTCTTTTTAGAGTTTTTTAAGATGACTCTTCTTTTTTTGTGCATCTCTTATTTGGTGCCTTGAATTGGTTCCGACTCAGACCGATACGAAGGATGATGCATAGAGTCCTAGGCCTGTCCTAGACCCTGTGACACCCTCTGCATCGCTGCTGCATGGAAACCCAGCCCCCTGAGGGTTTTCTTCCAACTCATTGTGAACTGGGCGAGAGGTTTCCGTTTGACAGCAGCTACACACGTGTCTTTGTGTGGTCTCGATAACATTGCCAGCAGAAGGCGTGTGCATTGTGGTTGGGGGTTAGCACTGTTCCCTCGGATGCTTTTGCGCCCAGCTGGCCTCAGTCACCCCAGGAGAGAAGGAGGAGTGAGGGTTGTTAGGAGCTATGCAGCAGCTATTCACATTGACACCTGTGGTCATGGAAACACCCAAACCAAACACACACACACACACACCCGTTGATGACTTGATTCTGGCTCCTGGAGACCCCTCAATATTTGAGGGAGAAACCCACCACACCTGCTTCTGAGGAGCTGGTCGATCCCAACTGCTGGCCTTTGGGGTCGCAGTCTGTCTCCCCCATGCAGTGTGCCACCAGGCCTCTGCATGATTCTGAAAGGTGGGAGGGAAAGTGGAAGGAAGAGGAAAGATCGAAGGCTAGCACTTGCCTCAGTTTCCCTGGTTTCAGAGGAGGGTGTTGGGAGCCACGGGCAGGCTTAGGTGAAGGCCCCGCCCCCCTGAGCTCATTGCCGAAGGCCAACAAGAGAACAGCCAGTTGCCATGGAGTCCATCCTGGTTCGTGGTCACCCGGGAGTGTCGGTGTCAAGGCACAGCTGTGCTCATAGGGCTTCTGATACGGGGCTCGTTCTCCCATGCCCGAGTCTTAATGGCATCTTGATTTTCATGGGGCAGGTGGACATCTAAGGAGCCCTGGTTACGTGGTTCTGAGGAAGAAAAGACCAGGCAATCTGTCTCCAGATTACAGCCTTTGGGGAAGGGGGGATCATGTGTACCAGTAAAGGAATTTTTCTTTTACTTTTCGAAGAGAAGAGCCAACTGTGGGGAGGGAGGGGGTGGGCAGGGAGAAAAGTGCAACAATGAATGAATGGGAATCCAAAGTCTCTAAAGGTTCATTAAAATTAATAAAGTATAATTTTTATTTTATTTTTTTTATTTTTTTGTGTGTGTATACCGTCAAATTGGATCTGACTGGTACAGGAGGAGATTGCCCCTCCTTCTCCAGCAGAGGATCTGGTGGATTTGAACCGCATATCTCTGGGATTGCAGTGCAGCTTCTTGCCTCTAGGCCACCAGAGCTCCCTAATAAAGTATAATTTTTTTAAAAAAAGATTAAAGCCTTGGAGATTTTATAGGGCTTTTTTTTTAAAAAAATTTTTTGTGTGTGTACCATCAAATCGGATCTGACTAGTACAGGAAATTGTCCCTCCTCCAGCAGAACATCTGGTGGATTCGAATTGAGTACCTCTGAGATTGCAGTGCAGCTTCTTGCCACTAGGCCACCAGACCTCGCCTATAGGGCTATTTTCATGTGTCACTTGAAGTTCACCATATGAGTCACAATTGACCCAGTGGCACCGAACCACAGCCACAGACAGCACGATGTAGGAATGGCTTAAGGTGACATGAGAAAGGCCTTATGGAAGGTGGGTCCCTAGGAAGACAGATCCTTGTCTCTTGGATTCCTTAAGTTGTGCAAACACTTAATACACTCGGCTGCTTACTGAAAGGTTGGACGTTCAGGTCCATCTCCAGGCTCCTCAGAAGAAAGGCCTGGCAGTCTGCTTCTGGAAATCAAGCTGGGGATTCATCAGGGGCAGACCCCCTGATAACTACTGGGAGTTAGTAGTGGTTCTTCCAGAGCTCCTGGTCGTGTTGGAAGGGAGAGGCTGTGTGCGCTGATTCCCAGTCCTTGCTGAGCTCTAGTGTAAGGAGACAAAGGTAAGGGGGGTGCGGGCGATCTGCTGAGACACGGTCCTTGTCTGCCTGGGCCTCCCAGCACTAGTGGGGAGGCTGAGAGCACAGGTGGCTGGACGGCCGTGGTGTCCAGGAGAGGATGGAGGAGGCAGGACTCTCCCTGGAGCCGAGGGGGACAGGAGTGGTTTGTACAAGCTCTTGTGACACCTCTTCCCACATCCCGCAGGCAACCACCACCAAGGTTCCAGAGATCCGCGACGTAACGAGAATTGAACGCATCGGTGAGTGAGCCCGCTGTGACGGGATGGTCTGGGTGCCATCTGCACACACACACACACACACACACACACACACACACACACACACACATCTCCTAGGGGAGGATGCTGCTGCCTCCTGGGCGGCCTAGTGTCAAAAAGCTGCGCTGCAGTCCCAAGGCATGCAAGTTTGAGGCCACCTGCTGCACTGCAGGAGAAGGCTGGGTAATCTCCTCCCGTGCAATTAACTGCTTCTGAAAACCCACCTGAGGGTCAGCTGTGGATCCGTTCTGACTCCACTGTACACGGCAACATTGATCAACGCGGGGGGGCTCCCACCTCAGGCCTCGGTGCTGGCTTGGCCCCCCTGCTGGGTCCTTGGATACGCCAGGAGCATCCTGGGGGGACGTGATGACAGCATGTGGGGAGTGCTGCCCGCGATTCCCAGCTGGGTGTCTGGCATGAGTGAGGGCACGGCCTCTGGCCCCTTCTCCACAGTGTGTGTCCCCCCATCAGATGCTCAGGAACTAAGCACTGAATCTGGGCACATCCTAGTGGGGCCGCCTGGAGTGAGGAGGTGCACAGTCCCATTTCCTGGGGAGGTGACAGGCTCAGCGGTTGCAGAGTTGGGAAGCCAGGAGCAAGAATGTGGGCCAAGCGGGGCCGCAGGGGCCAGCCTTCAGAAAGAGTGGAACCCTTCCGTGCCCTTCCTCACCCAGCTTCTGCCAGATCCCATCATTCTGCCTCTGATACCTCCCCTGGGGTCTCCGACCTATAGCTGGGGCTCCTGGCCTCGTGCCTCGAATTCCTCCTCCACACCGTGAACCTGAGCGCTCACCTCACAGCAGGTTTTAAGGTTTCAGGAGGCAATCGTGTAACACTCTTAACGTGCGTGGGCCAGCACCATGAGCAGAGGTGCTGCTGGGAGTCAGGCAGAGAGGGCCAGGCAGCCCTCAGCGCTCATGCTAGATCGGGGGCAGCCAGACGGTAAAGTTCAAGTCCATCAGTTTCTGTGCACGACCCCATGTGACAGAGCCACACTGCCTCGTAGGGTTTCTTGGCTGTAATTTTTTTTTTAAAATACATTTTTTTGTGTGTACCATCAAATCGGATCTGACTGGTACAGGAGGAGATTGCCCTTCTTTCTCCAGTAGGCCATCTGGTGGATTCAAACTACGTACCTCTGGGATTGCAGTGCAGCTTTTTGCCACTAGGCCACCAGAGCCCCCTTCTTGGCTGTAATCTTGACAAGAGCAGATCAGTCACCAGGGCTTCCCACCACAGAGCCTTTGGACTAACGGCTTCATGGCTGCACCACCAGGACACCTTGCTAGTGATGCCACAGCAGCCTGGTGGCTCTCTGCCTCCGTGTCCTCCCCCACAGCCGAGCATCTGTCTCACCAGCGGTTGCAACTGTCACCAAGTCCACTCCAACTCATAGTGACCCCGCAGGTGCCCTGGGTTCCCAGACCCTGAGTCTTCACAGAAGCAGATTGCCTTGTCCCCTCTGAAGAGCTGGCTGGTAGAGTCGAACTGCCAGCCTTTTGGTTAGCAGCCCAGCACCTAATCTCCTGTGTGTGAGTGAATGGGTTCAGACTGTGTTCCAATAAAACTTTATTCACAATCGTCATGAGCTGGGCCATGAGCTCTGGCCTGGTGCAGACTATCGGAATCCTTTCTGTCTCTACATCCCTGTCTTCACGTCCTCGTGTTCAACAAGGCCTGGTCGGGGAGGAGCCCTGGAGGCCTCCCAGGGTGGCCACGGCTCGTAGCGTTCCAGCAGATACAGCCTGAGATCATTGGAACCTGGGCGTGCTGTGTGGACCACCAGGTTATGATTGTTAATTAGGTCCTAGTGATATCTGCCCACCATTTGAGGTGGACGTTTGCTCCCCACTTTCCAGTTTGATCAAGGAGAAGAACAGGATTTGGAGGGGAACTGCCCTTTTCTGAGGCTGCCAACCCCCCCCCCAACCCAGAGCCACCGGTCCCTTCTTAATCTTGTGTCCCCCACACAGGTGCTCACTCCCATATCCGGGGACTGGGGCTGGACGATGCCTTGGAGCCGCGGCAGGTAAAGCAATGGGACAGGGAAGGGACTGGGGGGGCGGGGACACACGACATGTGCTCTGCAGACCTTGGGCCGTGGAGTTAAAAGCTCAGCTGCAAGGGGAGCTCTGGTGGCCTAGTGGCAAGGAGCTGCAACTACAATCCCTGAGGCACACGGTTCGAATCCACCAGATGCTCTGCCAGGAAAAGGAGGGTCAATCTCTTCCTGTACCAGTCAGATCTGATTTGACGGTACACGCACACAAAAATAATAATTAAAAAAAAAAGCTCAGCTGCAGATGGAGCCGCAGGGATGCTAAGAAATTGGGGGCCAGAGAGGGGGTGCATGTCTCCTGTCCACCCCATTTACAAGTTCTGGTCTCACCAGCCAGGGCAGCACGGGGATGCAGTCCCTACCCGACTTGCATGTCCCCTCACTTGCTCCCTCACCTCCTACCCTCCAGGCCTCGCAGGGCATGGTGGGGCAGCTGGTGGCCCGGCGGGCAGCGGGCGTGGTGCTGGAGATGATCCGAGAAGGCAAGATCGCCGGCCGGGCAGTCCTTATCGCCGGCCAGCCAGGCACCGGGAAAACGGCCATCGCCATGGGTAAGCGGGGAGCAGCCCTGACGTCTGCCAAGTAGTCCCTCTCTGGTCAGAGCAAGGATCAGTCACATTTAACAGATAGCCACACACAGCTGGGGCTGCCCCACACGAGTTCACGCTTGCATAGAAGAATCTGGATTAGGTCACACAAGGCAGAGTGCTAGATTCCGTGATGTCATACATCTGCGCCTGTCCCCCGCATGTCAACACTGCATCTCAAGGTTCCAAGAGGGCTGCCTCTGCGCCAGCCTTCCCAGCCCCAATCCAGGCAGCTGGAAAGTGGGGGGTTCCGGTGAGTGTAGCTCCTCGAGGTAGCCCACAGTTGTGCTTCAATTTCAGTTCATCAGACGCTCACCTTGTACTGCAAGGGAAATTGAAATGTTATCAACTTTGTTTTCAAAATTTAGACTGGGGTTGTTTTGTTGTTATTGTTTTGTTTTGTTATTTTGTGTGTGTGTGTGTGTGTGTGTGTGTGTGTGCGCGCGTGTGCGCGCACCATCAAATCAGATCTGACTGGTACAGGAGGAGATTGTCCCTTCTTCTCCAGCAGAGCATCTGGTGGATTTGAACCATGCACCTCTGGGATTGCAGTACACCTTCTTGCCACTAGGCCACCAGAGCTTGCCTGTTTGTTTGGTTTTTTAAATTTATTATTAATTTCAATGAAAATTTGCAGAGACTTTGGATTTCCATTCATTCATTGTTGCACTTTTCTCCTCTCCCAACCCCCCCCCCAGCACACTACTTGGAAAAGTAAAATTCTTTCATTATTTTACAAACCCTCCTCCCAGGTCCACTCCACTATGCAGCCTTCACTCTGGACTCTGTCATGACAAAAATACCTAATCACATATCCCTTTTAAACAGTTTTCTTCCTCATCTATTTCAATGCAGTATACATTATTGAACCCATCTTTCTCAGTTTCTCTCCAACCCCAAGGTCAGTCCTGTTTTACAACAGTGGCACCATGCAGTATTTGTCCTTTTGTGACTGAGATACTTCAATCAGCATAATGTCCTCCAGGGTCACCCATTTTGAATAATATTGCATGAGTTCCTTGTTTTTCAATGCAGTGTATTATTCCATTGTGTGAATATACCGCAGCTTCTCTCCATTCCTTTGTTGATGGGCACTTAGGTTGTTTCCAACTCCTTACTACTGTGAACAAAGCCACGATAAACATGGGTGTGCATATATCTGCCTGGATGTCAGTTATGGTATTTTGGGGATATATTCCCAGTAGTGGAATTGCTGGGTCAAATGGTATCTCTATTTGCAACTTTTTGAGAAAGTTCCATACCGCCTTCCAGTGGTTGCATCATTTTACATTCCCAGCAACAGTGAATAAGGGTTCCAGTTTCTCCACAGCCTCGTCAGCATTTGTTTCTGGCTGTGTGTGTGTTAAATTTTGCTGTTCTTACTGGGGTAAGATGATATCTCATAGTTGTTCAGATTTGCATCTCTCTTAGAGCTAGAGATTTTGAACATTTCTTCATGTGCTTGTTGACCATCTGAATGTCTTCTTTCGTGACATGTCTGTTCATATCCTGTGCCCATTTTTCTGTTGCATTATTTACCTTTATCTTGTCGTGGTGCTCAATATTTTATTTTATTTTTATTTTATTTTATTATTTCTTGTGTGTGTACCGTCAGATCAGATCTGACTGGTACAGGAGGAGATTGTCCCTGGATAAATTCTGGATATAAGTCCCTTAACATGTCATTACCAAATACTTTTTCCCAGTCTGTGGTTTCGCCTTTTACCCTGTTGGAGTTTTTAGATGTGCGTAGGGATTTGGTTCTCAGAAGGTCCCATTCATCTAGTTTATGTTCTCCTGGTTGTAGGAAGACTGAGGTTGTCTTAATTCACCAAGTTTGAGGCTGAGGAAGAAGGGGATGACGGGGAAGCTGATCCCTGACTGATAATCAGTAGTTGTTACAACCCACTAGTGATCCTGAGATCCTTCTGTTACTTCCCTTCATCCTCCTCGTTGAACCCCTCTTCATCCTTCAGCCTCCTCCCATGACACGAAAGCTCCTCTCTGTCCACTTCCAGCCGAAGCCCTCCCTCAGGCTTCTGGGGTCAGGCGGCTGCAAGCAGGTCTTCAGTTAAGATGAAGTCGTGTTCACTTAGGGGCTCTGGCTTCAGGGGTGCCTGGCCTGCTTGTGGTCACCTCCAGGATGCTGTGTGCTGGAGGGGCTGTGGCACTGACGGAGGCGCCTCCTGTCCCCGTGGGGAGGGAGAGGAGTGACATGGCCGGAGTCGGGAGGGCCTCCCAGAGGAGTCAGTACCTGAGCGAAGACTGGGACTCTCCACAGACATCAGCCAGGGTGTCCGGGCAGGACACGGACTCCTGCACCCTGTCCTCTGGCCCCCCACTCCCCCCATCACTCTGAACCTGACGCTGACCAGCTCTTAGACTGGCCTAGGCCACACCTCCAGACGCAGCCCCTTCTAGCTGGGAAGGCGTGGGGAGCTGGTGCCAGAGATGCCCCGACTTACGCAGCCCTCTTGTCCCCAGGCATGGCCCAGTCCCTGGGCCCCGACACCCCTTTCACAGCCATTGCGGGCAGCGAGATCTTCTCCCTGGAGATGAGCAAGACGGAGGCCCTGACGCAGGCTTTCCGCCGCTCCATCGGTGTCCGCATCAAGTGAGCTGGGCCCCGGGCTGGGAGGGCCCCACTCCCCAGCCCCGACCCCACCACCTTCTGCATAAGGGGGAGGGTTCCAAGCACCTCCTGTCGGGCTCTCCCCTCACATCTGCTCTCTGACTAGGGAGGAGACGGAGATCATCGAAGGGGAGGTCGTGGAGATTCAGATTGACCGGCCAGCTACGGGGACGGTGAGTCAGCGCCCCAGACAGGGCCTGAGGGGTCGGGACCCTGCTGAATCAGGAGCACCCCTGCAGGCTGTCACTGGGCTCGCGCGGACACGTGGGCCGGGAGCAGGGAATCTGAAGCCCAGAGAGTAAGAAGGCCGGCTTGGAAGCTGTCAGCAGTAATTCTGACCTTACGGTGTTTATCTGCTGCTGCATGGAGTTTATCTAGGGCGGTAATCTAGCGTGTTACAAACTGCTAATTGAAAAGTCAGCTGTTCAGATCCTCCGGCCTCCACTTGGGAGAAAGTCGAGCAGCCTCCAGTACGCACATCCAGCCCCGTTGCAGAGTCCGGGCCCATGTGACCCCCGGAATCCGATTCGGGGGTTGGACTGAGGCGCGATGATGCTGGCGGCCTTGACCCTCTGCTTTTTTTGAAGTGACAAATTTTTTATTAATCTTTGAAGTATAAAATCAAAGACCGAGAGGGAGCTCTGGTGCTAATAAGCTATGCTGCAGTCCCAAAGGCGCGCGGTTCGAATCCACCAGATGCACCAGAGGGGCAGTGTCCTTCTGTGCCAGTCAGATCTGACTCGATGGTACACAAGGGTGGGGAAGGAAAGACGGACGTTCTAGTCTGCACGCATGAAAGAAAGGATACTAAAACAGAGAGCTTCCCGCGTCAAGTGTGTGCTGCTGAATTAGGGCAGACGCCGTGCAGTTTACAGCCTCTGAAACTCGATGGTACATAACAAAAACCTAGGAGACTTAGTCGGGATTCCCTCAGCGGTAATGCGGTCGCTTGATACCAGCGGTGGCGGCTGTGTGTGTTAGTTAAGATTGAGTGTAAACGTAAAGGCAACAATTTTAACAATATTGTCATTTCAAGTTATGCATATTTTAAGGTAAGATTGAGTATAAACGTAAAGGCAACAATTTTAACAATATTGTCATTTCAAGTTATGCATATTTTAAGGTAAGATTGAGTATAAACGTAAAGGCAACAATTTTAACAATATTGTCAGGCTGTGTGTGTTAGAAAGCGTACCTTGGGGAGTTCTGTCATCTGTACACACCCAGGAGGACAGCTGATGTCACCCTGGTGAATGTCCCCCTCTCTCCCAGCGTCCCCACAGTTGCCCCTTGGGAACCTGGGTAGAGGTCTGGGTGGGTCAGGAAGTGTCCCGTAGTGCTGAAGGGATGGGACCGCTCTGAGCCCCTTCTCTGGCCCTCCGCCCTCCTAGGGCTCCAAGGTGGGCAAGCTGACCCTGAAGACCACAGAGATGGAGACCATCTATGACCTGGGCACCAAGATGATCGAGTCCCTGACCAAGGACAAGGTCCAGGCCGGGTAAGCAATGGGGGGTGCCTGATGGCGGAGGAGAAAGTGGGCCCTCCCTTCCTCCATCCCTCCTGTCCATCCTGTCCTCGCTCCCTCCCTCCTGCCCCCTTTCCTCACCCCTGCCGCCTGCCTGCCCTTCCTCACCCCCCACCTGCCCTCCCTCACCCCCTTCTGCCCTCCCACCCCCAGGGACGTGATCACCATAGACAAGGCCACAGGCAAGATCTCAAAACTGGGGCGCTCCTTCACGCGGGCCCGGGACTACGATGCCATGGGCTCTCAGGTAAGCATAGGCTTCATGGGGACCCCGCCAGCCTGGATCACGCGCTTGCCCCCTCCCCCACCTGCACCCCTCAGGTCTGAGCCCTCCTGCCCCCTATAACGTTGAGTCAGCTCATCACATCCTTCCCCCCATATTTCCCTGGGAGCCCATGCCCTTCAGGTGTTGACCCCGTCACTCTCGCCTTTCTGTCCTTCCCGGGCAGCCCCAGTCTCCCTGTCCCGCCCTCTGGGGCCCCCTTTTATGCCCGTCTCGACCTCACCCACAGACCAAGTTCGTGCAGTGCCCGGACGGGGAGCTGCAAAAGCGCAAGGAGGTGGTGCACACAGTGTCCCTGCACGAGATCGACGTCATCAACTCCCGCACGCAGGGCTTCCTGGCGCTTTTCTCGGGTGAGGCCCCGGCCGCCCCCGGACATCCAGCCCTCCCAGGGCCTCTCCCCCTCCCTGAGCCCTGTCCGGTGGTCAGTGGGTGCCCGCTCCCTCCCTGCTCGCTTTCTGGTGTTTTCCCGGGTCCCCGCCATTTCTGGCCCTGGCACCTGCCTTTGCCCACCTCCGGTCCCTCTGCAGGGTCCCTGGTAGCACAGGGGTTAAGTCTGGATGTCGCCGTGCTCCGCAGAAAGCCGTGCAGTGAGCCACGAAGATAATGGCTTTGAAGACCCTGTGGGCAGCGCTGCTGCCTTGGGGTGGCCATGAGTCAGAGTCCACTCAGTGGGGGCGCGTTTGGTGTCCGAGTGGGGTCCTTGACCCTCCCTGACGCCCCTTCCCACCTCTGACAGGCGACACGGGGGAGATCAAGTCGGAAGTCCGGGAACAGATCAACGCCAAGGTGGCTGAGTGGCGAGAGGAGGGCAAGGCCGAGATCATCCCCGGGGTGAGTGCTGGGCAGTGGATGGGCGGACGGGGGGCTGCGGGAGGCTGCCAGGGCGTCTGACTGAGGGCCCCCGTGTCCCCCCCCATGGCTCCAGGTGCTATTCATCGACGAGGTCCACATGCTGGACATCGAGAGCTTCTCCTTCCTCAACCGGGCCCTGGAGAGTGACATGGCACCGGTCCTCATCATGGCCACCAACCGCGGCATCACGCGGTGAGCCAGCCCCCGGGGCTTGGGGTGCTGTGGGCAGTGGGACTGGCCGCTCCCCGGGGTGGGGTCTGGGGCTGTCGGTGCTGGAGACTGCCCATTCCTCTTCCGTGGAGCCGGGCGTGGCTTCAGGGCAGACACACACACACCCACAGTTAGGATCGGCAGCAGGCCTCAACGCACGGGGACGCCTTGTCCTCACGCGGGAGAGATGGGCTGTCTCCTCCCGTCCCACTGACAGGCTCTGCAGAGCGCCCGGAGGAGGCTCGCCTCTGAGTTGCCTTTGAAATGACGGCGTCTGACATAACAGCAGTGCGTGACTGGAGGGACCTCCTGCGGCCTCACTGGTAGAACAGAGGTCCTGTCCGGCCAAAGGCAGGCAGTTCAGGTCCACTGGCGGCTTTGAAGGGAGGGAGATGACAGTTTCTTCCCGCGTGACCGACCGCCTCTGAACACTTGCTGGAGGGTCAGCCGCGAGGTGTCTCTGACTTGACAGCAGTGAAGGGAATTTTTTTTTTTAGTGGTTTCTTAACATAGTGTGTATCTGTGAGCCTGCTAACCCGGTCAGTGGGTCAAGTCCACAGGCTGTTCTCAGGAGTAAGGTGAAGGCGTCTGCCCCTGGTTTGAAACCCGCCGGAGGGTCTCTGAGTTGGCAGTGGGTTCGTTTCGTTTTACCGAATGGACACAAGCCTTGGAAGCTGGGGTCGGGGTGTTGTCTCAGCCACCTGTTACGGATCGGTGGTGACTCGGTTTTTTTTGTTTGTTTTTAAATTTTTTTTTATTTTATTATTTTTGTGTGAGTGTACCATCAAATCAGATCTGACTGGTACAGGAGGAGGTTGTCTCCTCCTTCCCCGGCAGAGCATCTGGTGGATTTGAACCGCGTACCTCTGGGATTGCAGTGCAGTGTCTTGCCACTAGGCCACCAGAGCTCCCTTAGGGGTTTTTAAGTGCTCTGCTGCCAATAAAAAGGTCTACAGTTCCAATCCAGCAGCCACTGGAAGTGAGGAAGAAGTGGCAGTCTGCTTCCTCCCAGATGGACAGTGGGACACCACTGGGGCGGTTCTACTCTGTGCTATTGGGGGTCTGTCTTAGGGAACAGAGCAGCCCCGGGGCCCTGCCCTCAGGTCGTGTCTAGATTGCGAGGGGCAGGCATCTCAGTGTCTAGGGGAGACCGTCAAGGCAGAGGTGGCTCACATGGGCGTCTCCTGGGGGTCCACTGTGCTGGGCTCCGGGGTGGCAGGCCCAGCCTCGATCCAGGGAGGGACCTTGCTGCCCAGCCCGCCCACTGGTCTCCAGGTGGAGAGCTACGGTGACGGGGCCGCTCAAGGTGAAGCAGCAGGGCTGGCCTCAGTGAGTGGGTGGTGGGGTTAGCACAGGGTGACGGGGAGGCTGGGACCCCGCTGGGTCCTTGAGGGCCCCCCTGACATGCCCTGTGCCTCCTCGCCCTCAGGATCCGGGGCACCAGTTACCAGAGCCCGCACGGCATCCCCATTGACCTGCTTGACCGGCTGCTCATCGTGTCCACGTCGCCCTACAGCGAGAAGGACATGAAGCAGATCCTCCGCATCCGGTGAGAGACGGGAGGGGCCTGCACCCTGGAGAGGACCGACCCGGCCTGCAGGCCACCGGGGCTCTGTGACCCCTCAGCTCCCGGGGTCGGGGCGACCGCAGCTCTGTGACCCCTCAGCTCCCTGAGCCGGGGTCGGGGTGGACACAGCTCTGTGACCCCTCAGCTCCCGG